GGGGGCATGTTAGGCCCTCCTATACCTGCACATGGAGAGGGAGAAGCTGCAGTTAAGACATCGTTCCAATTAAATCCACAACCGCTTGACCCCGCGCGCGTTTACCAGGAGCCGAGTGTATCCGGAGAGCCGGACGGCACAAGCGGATAAAGCCCCAGGTGCGCCTGTCCCTGCCGACTACAGGCGGATGAATCAACCCACCTACAGTCGGAATTGCCCGGAGGAGTCTCTCCTCCTCCCTCCTTTGGCACCACAGGGCCCAGATTCAGCCTCCCCGCCCGGACAAAGTCCTCGCTCCCAGGAAACGAATCGCCACGAACCGAATTATCTCATTTTTTAGCCCAAAGCTGGGCAACACCAGCCCGGTATTAAAGGAGGCTGAAAGAAAAAGCAGCGGCGAAGGCCAGAGCTGCCCCCGAGGCTGAACACGAGCCTCAACGCTCACCATGAGGTCTGTTGTAGTTGGGAGGTGTTGGTCCTGGTCCAGGCCCTTGCACTGGTCCTTGCACCGGTCCTGTCCCGGACACGGAGGGTGGAGGTAGTGTCGGCATTTGCTGCTGCATTCCAGGCATGGGCCTTTTTCCCTGCACGGCCATTTGGAGGTGATCGGGAAGCGGCTGGCCCCGGGCAAGCATCTTGTAGGCCATGATCTGCGCTCGGAGCTGGTGCAGCTGGTTCTGGTTAAACGGGGTCGGCCCCCGGTTCTGCTGCCCCAACGCTTGCGGGTCGGTGCCGTCCAGCGGGACGCCGCCGGGACCGGAGGACATGGCCGGGCCGGAGGACGGACCGTTCGCCGGGACCGGGCTCGACGCGTGCTCGGAGCCGCCGAGCGGAGAGGGGTACCCTGCAAGGAGAGGGGGATTAGTCGGGAAAAAATGGGAATTTTGAAAAATCACAGCAAAAGCTACAGCACGTATGAAATTAGGAAGGATTTTGGGAAGAAACAAACCTTGAGAGTGCTGATCCATGGGGCTCGGAGGCGGCCCCATTCCCGCGTGCCCGCCGGGCCGCATTCCCATTCCTTTCATCTGGCCGTAGCGGGGATCGTCGGCGAGGCCCTTCTCGTGCATGGAATCCATGGGCTGCAAGAGGGAAAGCAACAGCCTGAGACCTGCTGGAGCAGCGGGCGCTAACGAGGCCCCGGATTAACGACCCCCCATTGAAAGGAGGGGACTCGACGCAAGGGCACGTTTAAGAGACACTTAAAATAAATGTTTTCCCATTTCTACACCTCGGAGCTTCCGACACTGGAGATGATCGAAAAAAACTACAGGACTTCTGAGAATTGCTAAGAAAAAGGAGTTTTAGGCAGATTTTTTTCTTTTTTTAAAAAAAAAGAGCAAATGCTTTAATTGTGGAAATGGAAAGGAAAGAGGAGGGCTTGTTTATTTGCTCATTTAACTCCAAATCCCCAAGGAGCCCTTGCAAGGACAGGTATCTTTGTGAGCAACTTCATGTTCCTTTTATCCCATATTTAGGATGAAAAATCCTCAAGCTGAGCTTGAAATGTAGGTTTTCAGCGAGCTTAAGAGACCAAGAGCAGAGCTGCCAATTGAGAAAATTGAACTATCAGCTCAATCCTTGTGCAGTTTCTGCGTTCTTTGGGAAAAACACGAAGCGTGAGAGTGCAGGAAAGGCCCAAATCGAGGGGATTTGGACTATTTCTGTTAAAACAGGAGCCGTTTTTGCGGCGACCTGCCCGAACTCACCTTGTGCATCTGGTGCATGTTGTCCTGAGCGTAGCCCCCCGGGCCCTGGGGCGGCAGCGGGTGCCCTGCGGAGGGGGGCCCGGGGCTGGGTCCCATCATACTGTGTGCGGAACCGGGAGACGGGCCCGGACTGGGCCCCAGCATGGCCCCGGGGGACGGGCCGGGCCCCGGAGCCGGGCCCGGCCGCGGGGCCGTTTCAGGGTGAATTGAGGGCAAAAAAGGTCACATTAAAGCCCAAACCGTGCTCGACTCGGGCTTGGGAGTCGCCAGAGCTGCTCTGGGCCATTTTAGGGTGAATCGAGGGCTAAAAAGGCCCCATTAAAGCCCAAATCCTGCTCTACTCGGGCGGTACCGGAGCTGCTCCGGGCCATTTTAGGGCAAATCAAGAGCTAAAAAGGTCCAATTAAAACCCCAAACCAGCTCGACTCGGGCTTGGGAGGTGCCGGAGCCGCTCCGAGCCATTTTTGGGAGAATCGAGGGGAAAAAAGGTCCAATTAAAGCCCAAATCCCGCTCAACTTGGGTTTGGGAGGCACCAGAGCTGCTCCAGGACGTTCTAGGGTGAATTGAGGGCTAAAAAGGTCATATTAAAGCCCAAATCCCACTTGACTCGGGCTTGGGAGGCACCGGAGCTGCTCCGGGCCATTTTAGGGCAAATCAAGGGCTAAAAAGGTCCAATTAAAGCCCAAACCCCGCTCGACTTGGGATTGGGAGTTGCCAGAGCCGCCCCGGGCCGTTTCAGGGTGAATTGAGGGCAAAAAAGGTCACATTAAAGCCCAAACCGTGCTCGACTCGGGCTTGGGAGTCGCCAGAGCTGCTCTGGGCCATTTTAGGGTGAATCGAGGGCTAAAAAGGCCCCATTAAAGCCCAAATCCTGCTCTACTCGGGCGGTGCCGGAGCTGCTCCGGGCCATTTTAGGGCAAATCAAGAGCTAAAAAGGTCCAATTAAAACCCCAAACCAGCTCGACTTAGGGTTGGGAGGCGCCGGAGCCGCTCCGGGCCATTTTAGGGTGAATTGAAGGCAAAAACGGTCGCATTAAAGCCCAAATCCTGCTCAACTTGGACTTGGGAGGCACCGGAGCTGCTCCAGGTCTTTTTAGGGTGAATTGAGGGCAAAAAAGGTCCCATTAAAGCCCCAATCCCAGTCAACTCAGGCTTGGGAGTTGCCGGAGCTGCTCCAGGCCATTTTAGGACAAATCGCAGGGAAATGCATCTTTCTTCCACTGCTCCCTGTGTATTTCAGGTGAAATTCGGGTTTCTGGTTAGTTTGAGCCAATTCAGACCCCCACGAGCACAATATAGCTATTAAAAACACATTCTCACTTAACATTTTGGAAGCGTATTTGCAGCTGCAGCAATATTTCAGGTGTAGATTTTTTTTTAATCTCCTTTAAATCACATTTTTTTAGTCTCCTTTAAAAGGAGACTGAAAGATATATACAAAATATATTTTTGCTTCATCTGAAGCAAAACCTGCGTTTCCCTTTGACAAATAATTGCAAATTCCAGCTAAGGGAAAGCTTTTGCCACAGGGAGGCTTCAGCTGGAAAAGGCCATTAGAAAGCTAAACAGAAATTATTTTTATTTCAAAGTACGGTGAAAAGGGGAAACACACTTTTTTTTTTTTATTAAGATTTCCAATTCTGTGAATATAATGCCAAAACAAATTATTTTTATTTCAAAATACGGTGAAAAAGGGAAATGTAGGTATGTATTTTTTTAATATTTTGAATTCTGTGAATGAGGACAATGCATGGTTAATGTACAGAACATTTACTGCATTCAGCTCTGACCACTTTGCTGACAGCCCCATCAGAATGGGTTAGAGATAGATACAAAAAAA